AGAGAGGGGGGGGGGGGGGAGATGTACAGTCCCTCAGCCATCACAAACCCCGGCGATTAAATGTGGGTGGTGTGCACAATAGGAGGACCAAGGTGTGCTGAATGACATAGAGGACTGTGGGTCCTCAGCCACAGGCAATTTGTGGTATATGAGGTTATTTATACTGCAGTGCTTATATAAGGACTCTCTGCTACATGTTATTGAAGACCTAGATCATTATTTGGTGGCCACTCTTCTGGATGCATGCTATAAAGCCAAAATGGCAGGGCTACACTCACCATTCCAAAAAGAATGGTATTAATGGGGGAGAGTAAATTTAAAAGCATCCTGGATTTGGGCTTTGATGGCAGCAGAGTTCAGTAAGACTGGGCGGTGAAATACAGTAGGTTAGTGTTAATTAGGGATGTTCAGATACCAGTGCCGATACTTGGCATTTTCACGAGAACTACCAGGGTTGCAGAGGTTGCAGCTGGTACCTGGCTCTGGCACTCCACCACTGTCCTGAAATCATTAGTCTGTATTGTTTGAGAAAAACACTCACATGACAATAAGCAAAAATGTATCAGTACTTGTATCTGTGAGTAGCTCTGTATGCTCCATGCAAATGACAGCTGCCTCCTAACTTTTGAGTTTTTCTCTAGTCTAGTCTTGGAGCTGGAAAAATATATGTACATGTACTTGTACCGAGTACGGTACTTGGTAACCGAACATTCCTAGTGTTAATGTTTTTCTTTGTAGGCTGGCCTTGCTTTTATTTTTATTGAAACAGAATTATATAATAAATCACACATTTGCTATGTAGTAACTCACAGCTGTCAGTTTACTGTGTCAGGGTACTGTAAGCCTTAGTTTCTATTGGCTAACTGTACTTTGCACAGAACTAATACATTCTGCCCTATTTAATTCAAATAAGCCCAGAAATGCATATTTTTAATAGTTTAATAGCATTTTTTTCTTGTTCTTTTGTTATTACCATTCTCTAACAGTCTGGTGATTACCATTATAATTTGAGGCATGCTAAAAGTATTATTGATAATGCTAAAAGCATGATTCATACCATTCTACATTCTAATAATAACATGTCTCCATCTCTCCAGTAAATTGTTTACTTCTTTAGTATTTCAATGAAGCCGTCACTACAGAGCTTTCATTTATTTAATCTCCAGCATGGCTTAATGTATTCCACTATGTTTTAACCTACTAAACCCATTGCAAAGCATGCATATTTTGACTTACCCAGCCATTACGATAAAAAAATCCAGTCTGTTCCATGTATCTCCAAGGTAACATTTCTTCCCAAAAATCCCCAAGGCCACCATCTTCACCACCATCTCCATTGCAAAGAATATAAAGATGAAGTCATCAAATACCTGATATCATTGACAGAACAGAAATAATTAGGTTAGATATGTAGCATGAACATGCCACAATTACTGTGCACTTTTTATAAATTCTTCCTTGGTGTATCTAAACCCAAAAACAAACATGTCATATATTGCAGCTTCCCAGTTCTTGTCGTGGCTGCATTAGTGTCATTTATTTCAGGCTTTTCTATCTCATTTTCTGCTAGTGATCCTTATCCAGTAACACACTTTCTGTCCTAAAGTGCCAACACTCACTTACTATACTGTATCCATGAAGGGGCAGTGTTGTCACCCAAGGACATAACTACTGCCATTGGTACAGTATATACAATGTCCCTGCTAGGTGACCTGTGACCGTTCTGGATGCTCTTGGACCAGGCTGGAACATTAACCCTTTTATGGGACCTGCATATGCAGGTAGTGAACAGACTCTTCAGTTACACTGGAGATAAGTCCAGTTTATTTATTGTTTGTATGTCAATATTACAACATACAAAGAGGAAGAAGCTGCAGGTGATTATGCAACAAAGGATGAAAGAAATGTGAAAGCAGGCATTTCATTGAAAACATTTAAACTAAATGTAATTCAGTAAAGGTTTACATCTGCTCTAAAGCAGCCCTGTTATGCACACAAAAAATCTGCTGACATTTTCTAGCAAAAGAAGAGATAGTATACTTACTGTGGTTCCATCCTCCAACCCTACAGGATTTTGCAGTGATGTAGGTGTCAGTAGATAGAACTACAGCACGATAGGGGCACAGGCATCAGACAGTCCCACAAGCATGGCATGCTGGAGAAACTTGTGGAAACTGCTAGTACAGAGGAGAGGTAGGACACACAAGCTACCAGACAAATGTGTATACTACCTCTTTTCTTAATGTTAACTTTCAGCTGCTTTTTCAGAATTTCACAGGGCCGCTTTCAGTATATTGTAAGAAAACAAGAGAACAGGGCACAAACATATCCATTCAATGAAACAGCCACATTATAAAAATAATATGGGGATGGTTTTACAAGGACCCCTATCCTTTAAACTCAGATAAAACACATTGGTCATCATTAAACTGACACTAATCTCAGGAGTTAAATCTTAAAAATGAAGGGCAGTGCACAATAGCAGCCTTGTACAAGTAATCTGCATGGCTGTACAGCTGCCTAGATCACTTAAAGGTTGACAAGCCAGCCCTGCCTGCCTGACATCATTGGTTGCTAGGACTGCTGGTGTCATAGCAACCAATGACGTCAGGCAGGCAGGCAGGGCTGGCTTGTCAACTCTAAGTGATCTAGGCGTCACAAGGGGGTGTCATTGGGTGACACCTCAGAGGGGGGTGACACCAAAATGACGACTGACAGACATTTTAGTTTCACCACCTCTGAAAAGTCGGGCACTCGGTCATGGACCAAGAGCCCGACAGCTGCATGAGAAATGAGGGGACCCGGCGGCATACCTTATCCACTCGGATAAACATTCTGTCCTCTCTTTGCTGGCGACAATCACCAGCAAAGAGAGCCGGC